ATCTTGCAAAGAATTTCAATAAAAGATCAAAATCAATAAACTCATGTCGTCCCCGCAGTGCCATAGTAGTACTAGTACTAGTAATAATAATAAATTAATAATACAAGTAATAATAATAATAACAACAACAACAACAACAACAAAAGTAACAACATCAACAAGCAAAAAATGATACCAAGATAAAGCTTTTTAAGTCAGATCCCGAAGAGACTTCGTAGAATGTCATTAGGAAATTATTTATCTTCCCAAATAACCATTTGAATGTTGATTCTGATATTACAAGAGCTTTAGAATCAGGAGGGCTCCTACATAATGCAGACGGAACGTCAAATAACTAAATAAGTACACATATGACGTAAATTATTATATGTAGTAATATTAATTTATATTATTATTATTATTATATTATTATAACAACTTAAAGCTAACATATTTAACTTCCACAACCTGCAAATATGTGTGTGTACATATACATTACCAGGATTCAAGAAATCCAGAAGCGGTAGACCAGACGAAAAGAAATGCCATGGCTAATATGGAAATATGGCACAAAAGGGTAACAAAAGTGTACTCCACCACTTCCAAAAGAAACCATATGAGAGTGAATCCAACCAATATTGTTGCCGACACATGCTTATTCTCCCACAATAATATATCAGCAACTGCGCGCACAAAAATCAAACCATAATAATAACTAGAAATAATTATATTACATATTTATCGTTAAAATAAAATTTGTTTATAAAAATGTGATTTGTTATTTGTAGTGGTGATAGTAGTTACTTATTCATAGAAATATATGTTCAATTTCAACACTTAGGTGACCATTGCATTATACTACTGTACCACGAATTTGTCATATTTTTTAAATAAATTTTATTTCAGTAATATTTTCAAAAAAAACTCGAAAAAAATACTACGTACTCGGTAGTGATATTTAGTAGTGATACTAATTATCATCATCATCATCATCACCTCATTGCATTTATGATTTATTTCTCAACTTGATTTATATTATACTCAATATACGTAGTATAATATATACTACGTACTACGTATAATTTATAATTTAATTTAAAATTTATAATTGAATGTTTATGCGTCCTTGTTTTCAACATAAATTTAATGTAGTTTGAATATATACTCTGCAATATTTTTGTTCATACTAAATGCGTAGTACTAGTAGATACTCCTTCATCCCTTAAAACTTTGTCAACTTTTCTAACTTCGCCACTTTTCCTTCTAAAAAATTCATGGTTCGAGTTAATTCTCTCTCCTCTGCACAAACCTCATTCATACGGTTTTTATTTTATTAATTTCGTGTCGGCCAAGTTTTAAGGGATGAAAGGAGTATTATTGAAACTGAATGATCCATAAAAACTCCAAGAGCATCTCCAATGCGAGGGTGCATTGTATTATTGTAGTGATGTGGCATATGAGAGAGATAAAGATAGAATGATTTTTTGAATGAAGTGGTGTACTGCTGTGTAGGAAAAAATGAAAAAGGAGAAAGAGATGGAGATAAAAAGTAGACCAAGGTCAATGACAAGGTCCATAAATGGATCTTACACGAGATTCGAGGAGGAAAAAGTTGATGAAAAGTGGGTTAAAAGTGATACTCCGTATAAAAAATGAAAATGAAAATAAATTAGGAAAAATGTGGGTCCTACACAAGAGATAAAAAATGTGACCCATGCGTAAGGGTATGTAAGAGACCACACCCTTGCATTGGAGTTGCTCTAATTTCCTCACGTATTTACTTGATAAGGTTGTTCAATTAATTGAAAATAAAAGAATTAAATATTCCTTGGGAATTTAGAAAATAAAGAACGTCTTTTAATATAAAAATGTGAAACAAAAAATGAAATGAAAAAAATTTGAGCGATTATGGGGTGTTTGGATCTGATTCTTAAAACTGTTTCTGCACATTCAGGGAGCAGAAGCAGAAGCTGGAGTGTTTGGGTGAAAGTGCAGAAGTGATTCTGGTACTCAAATTTACTCCTAGAATCAGTTTTTTAGAAGCTGGAGTGACCAGCTTCAGAAAACTGATTCTGATTCTGTTTCTGCTTTAAAAAAGAAGCAGAGGCAGAAGCAGTTCCAAACACCCATATATAGAAATTGGGGGGATTTTCATTCAATTCAAACGCATTAGATCAACCAAACACATCTTTAAAATCAATTAATTGATACAGAGTAAATTTTAACTCTAACAAAGAATTAAATTAAAGTACATGCACTGCACATACCGTTTCCACCGCCAAGTAGTGCATGCATTGATGTACGAAGTGGTGGTGGTGAACCAGGCTGCCGCCGTTGGACGGTGGAAGAAGACGAAGAGTGGCTCATTGTTATACGGCTGCGCTGTGTAAAATGCTCGAAACACGGCGGCCGGATTATTAAGTTACTCAAGTTGTACGTTGAAATGTAATGAATTGTTGGATGGGAAGCAACTAATTAACGGCTTTATACGGTTTGTAATTCTATGCTTGGGAGCTAATTTAAGAATTAAAAGTAGCTATGCAGAAGAAAAGAATGGCTTTATCATTTTCTCATCTAAGCCTGTCTCATTGGGATATATCTTCAACCTCGTTGAATTGAGACTTTGATACGATGAAAAGTTTATTCCTTTATAAACTTTGATTTGCAATTTAACCAATATTAAACATGTTTATTCGCTAATGTTAACTAAAAACGGTCACAAAATTGTTGAAAACGCTAACTTTTACAAAACGTGCACATACATATACGTATATTATGCAGTATGTTTTAAAATAATCTGACAAAAAATACTAGTCTTGTTTTAAAACATTCAAATTGTATAGATCACAAAATAACATATAGTAAAAAAGAATCAAATTATACGTGTATTCAAATAGCAATATAATTCTCATTACTACATCAGAGAAGAATTTGTACTAGTACATATAAATTCATGGCAGGAAAAAATCCTAATAGTAGTGATGTCCAACACATAGTTTGGAAAAAATAATATATATCAAGAAAATAATGCATAATAACGATAAAATAAGACCAAATTAACATCCCCATCTTTATCATATAACACTCAAGTTAAACTCATCATCTTTATCAAAATGGATGTCGGATGGCGTATGAGAAAGCTCACGGTTGGTAAATTTATTATTGTTTTTATTTAGAAGTCTATACAAGAAAAAGCACAGCCAACCTGCACAGGTTTAAGGCTTTGTTTACAACCACTTGTGCTTAAATAAAAGCATTTTTTGATAAAAAGTGATTAGTAGTAAACGTTGGTGGTGTTTGGTAAAATAAGTGCTTTTTGTGTAATAGGAAAAGTAAAAAGTAGATTCTACACGTAAGCCGAGAAAGTGAAAGTTGAATTGGTAGTGTTTGATAAAATAAGTGCTTTTTTCTTAAAAAAAAAACCAAAATCACTTTTCTTAAGTGGTTGCAAACAAAGCCTAAAGAAACCTTGTTTTGGAGATGCCTGTTTGAAAAAGAGATATTTACCTCTCGTATGACTAAAAGACGCTATGTTTCCCAATATATGACTCCATGAGTTTTTTTTTTCCTATTTTCATGCCCAAATATGATGCATGGTTATTCCAGTGTTTCTTAATCTTTATTTAATTCCACGGTTAATTCAATTTTAACAACTAACTAACTCATCCTAAAATTTTGGAAGTGATTTGCATGAACATGGATTTGCACGTTCTAGTCATACGAAGGTAAAAAAGTATGGTTAGTCATATTATGAGAATTAACATGAGTTTTAGTAATATATACATAAATTTCCCTTTGAAAAATGTTAAAAACATACTCCGTATAACAGTAGTATTATAACTTTTAGTCTTTTTGTGCTTTAGCTTTAAAATTTATATTTTCTATTACAACTATACAAATTACAAGCAGTAAACTGGGGAAGGTTTTCATTCTTGTATTGAAAATATTATTTATTTATCCTATACATTCAATTCACTCATTCAACTCACTAAGAGCATCTCTAATGCGTTGGTGTTGACATTAAGAAAAATGGCCACGTCACACAATAAGAAGGTTGCTCTTATATTTCTACTCCAACGCTTTCTTTCTTCGGTAGTGTGATGCTGAAGTGTCAGAAATAAATGATGACAGTGTGAAGACCACTGTCTCATCTAAACAGTCTGTTAAACAGGCTGACTCATCCAAAAAACCTCATCGTGGGCATAAAAGTTCGGAACTTTGAAAAAAAATGGTGCACGTCTGCTAAAACTCTAGCGCCTCAACTGTACTCTTCTACATCCACTTGTTGTTACTCGCACATCTCCTCCTTCCTCAAGCAAGAAAAACCATTATTTATCATACTAGACCTTTTTGCTGGGAGGAAACAATTGATGCCAGGGGATGACGTGCACAATTAAAGAAATGTTGAAAATTTTATTATTCAATTAATGAATTTTTTTTTTAAAAAATAGAGAAGGAATGAATGGAATTGGCTTACGGAAGAGGACAATTGGATAAGAGTTTCTCCTAGAATCAGTTACAGAAGATAGGTATGGTTAATTAAATTTTAATTTAATAAATTGGACAAAAAGTTTGGACGTCAACATAAACGCATTGGAGAAGTTTTTGACGATTTTATTATTTGGATTTTGACATTCGTCCCATGTGGATAGACATTCCATAGATTTATTGACACGTGTAACAATTTTTTCAATGTCGAAAGCCACGCATTAGAGATGCTCTAAGTCATGTTCCTAATTTTTTGGTGAAGTACGAAAACAGATATTTATCTCTATTTTTTTTTTTTGTAAAACCCGATAAGCAGACGTTTTCTTCTACTTTGAACGGGTTGGCTTTATTTTTTGTTTAAGGCATATTTTTTGTCTATAATCTATATATTGATGAAAACATAAGAAACCAAACATTATCATAAAGTTGATTACCAATAGGGGGAGAAAACCTCCTCAATCATTTTGCCTCCCTATTACTTCATCAAAACCCTCTCTTTGTGTCCACTCAAAGAACCCAAGGCGGCAAAGCCCCTTTAAAGAGAACAAGACCAAACCAACATTTCTCAACCAACTTAGAAAGATAAAAGAAGAATAAATGTCTCAACAATTCCAACCCCAAATTTATCCGTACAGCAATGTCCCAACTCATCCATCTCAATCCTCAGTATCGTCGTCGTCCCACTCAAACGGATCGTATGGGATGGCATTTTTGGTTCTCGGGGCGATCTTGGTTTTAGGCGTGTTGGCCTGCATTGCCAATAGGCTGTGCAGCAAAAGAAGCAATCATCACAATCATAATGACAGTCTTAATAATGGTCATCATCATCCTCTTGGCAAAGTCGCAAAGCCGCCTGCAGATCAGCATCATCAAGCAAGGGACTTGGAGTTAGGAAAGAAAGTAAACACTCACCATTCTGCCAAAGTTGGAGACGCCAGTACAAGCGGAGGTCAGCTCAGATGAACCGCCAACTTAATTGCCTCTCCATATGGCAGGTTGATTATATTCAAGGAGCTACCTCTATCATTTTCCAGTTCATCATCATATTCAATATAGTTTAACCCTCTTAGATTTCCTCTTGACATTGAAATAAGAGCATTCATACAAATATTGATATTGTTATTATACTCCATCTGTTCCATAAAAACTTCTCACTTTTCTTTTATGAATGTCTCTAAATAGTGTCTCATTTCACGGAGTCCACACTATACGCCACCCTATACGCGCATGTATCATGTAATATTATATTGAATAATGTTGTGATTATCCAAATGTATGGATAATGATAAAAGATACATTAGTTCGGTTGTACTCACAAATGCTTATGGTAAATATACTATACAACTCTCATTAGGCTTCACAAAAGGACCATGCATATTACTAGACTACATTAGATTAGCATTCAAAAGTAGATGTCGTCACAAAATGGACATCTTATATTTAAAGTTATTACTATAAAGTAAAGCCCCAAGAGAATCTTCATCTTCATCCTTGGCACTCAAAAAAGAGAAAAACGCCAGATCACATGCATCTGGCTCGTTGGCAGATCGGTCAAAAGGAGGGCTAAAGCAAAACATTGAGCAGTCGGCCAGTCTGCCCTGGACCTTACTTATTATCTATTGTGTTGCCCGCCGACTATTAGATCATTTCCCCCTCCACCTACCCGAATCAGCGGGACTAGAATCATTCACCCCGCAACCCCGCCACTGAGAACTGCTGACATTATTGTTGTATCGTGCCCTGCCCTGATATGATGGCAGTGCATCCGTAGGGGGGCGATGCTGCTGCCATTGATTTCTCGGAGCAGAAGCTGACATTGTGTTTGGACTAGAATCATTCACCCTGCAACCCTGCCACTGAGAATTGATGACATTACTGTTGTATCGTGCCCCGCCCTGATATGATGTTGGGACAGTAGGGGGTTGATGCCGCTGCCATGGATTTGCTGGAGCTGGAACTGACATTGGTGGACTAGACCCATTCACCCCGCAGCCCTGCCATGGAGAGCTGATGACATTATTGTTGTATCGTGGCCCGCCCTGATAGGATGACTCTGCAACAGTAGGGGGTTGATGCCGCTGCCATTGAATTCGTGGAGAAGAAACTGGCATGGGTGTTGGGGGTTGTGCACATCGGGGTTGTGGCAGCGGCGTGTATCTGTTATGCTTCTGCAATTCGGGTCGACACCACGTCTTCCTGCTGCTATTCCATCCAGAGCCCCCCGCACCTTTTCTGGCACCATCATTATTATTATTACTATTCCAGTGATGATCTCTCGGTTCTACATTTGGCATATCCTTGGAGCTTTGATAGTTAGCAGGAGGAAGAGGCCTGCTGTTGCTGCTGCAAAATGTAATCTAGAGTAGTACAACCTATCTATCTACAAGAAGGAAGGATCAATAAAACGAAGGTCGGCTGATGTATTCACCTGTAACAACTGGCTGTAGTTCTGCCATGGAATTCTTCATGCCAGAGGACTACTGTTTTATCAAAATCAACTTCACTAACTATCTGCACAACAACCCGCGGCTGAATTACTTATTCTCAACTTTGTTGAACATTTACTTTGCATATCATGCATGGATCAAATACGTTTTATATCGGAAACTTACCTTTTTGGGGTAGTCCGTACCAGCTAATACTCTGGGAATAAAAGGAGAGATTGGAGATGTATGAAAAAACACGCACCTGGGGGGGTAACATAAGGAAAATTAACCAACACAGCACAGCTATACACCTCACTCACGCCTTCAATTTCATAGCAAAAACAGTCGGTCTTACAAAGTGTTTCCTGATGCATCATTGATATGGTCTTTATTTTGCCACACCATACCGCAAACTCCACCACCACTGGAAAATCAATTCATTGCACAGCAAACAGTTAATAGATAAAACCAATCGTTTACCAAACGCTTATGTATAATATGCTCCGAAAAAGATTAGCTTGCTTGCTGATACACTAGTATTTATGCATAAAGCTTAGACTAAGCTGCTACCTCAAGGCCGCACCATCAACTTTTATGGGATTACACTCGTGTAGACCACTGCCGCTACCTTCTTTGAAGCAAGACAAAATATACACTGCCAGTTCACAAGATCTATCCATGAACAACTGCTCCTTCGTCTCTGCATTTCTCTTCCGCTCATCTTCCTACACACACCATGTCTTTTATTCATGAAAAATTCTAACTCCTAGTCCTCCTAGTCCTTGTGTAAAGCATATATAGTGAGCATAATTAGATTACAAGAACCACAGAACATTGATTAAAATAGTTGCTTTTCCGGGTTCTTTTATAAATGAATGAATAAAATAAAAAATCAAGATGTTAGTAATTTTGACTCTGTTCTTGTGCCTGCACGTAAATTAACGCCTCTCAAAATCAAACATGGAAGATTCGGAAAAGAAAATTCAAAGGTTTCATTTCAAACAAAATACGTACTGTAAGGCTATGATTGATTATCTTTGTCTCCACCATAAGACGTCCTTCCTCTATGAATGGCAATTTTGTTATACCCTTCACCAGTAAAGATGGAAGAGAAACAAACATTGGCAATTTTGACTACATTGGTAATTAAGGAAGAAAAAGCTTGATTTTATTGTGCAAAACTGGGAACAAAATGCAACCTGCCACAAAAATCTTTTCCCATCCATATCTGTCTCGAAGTCTGAAACAAACAGCAAATGAGCACATCGGTCTATTCCAAAAGTGGTGACAATCTCTAAACTAATTAATATGGCATTACTAACTGTGGCAAGAATTACCGCCTTACTTGTAGGATAAAAATCAATTATCCTTGACTTGTCATCCTGCATAAGCCTTTGGTATGCATTTGGGAGGGCATGAGCACTGGCCGAAGAAAATGGAATTACAGGTTAGAGATATGTACCAAGCCACTGCCCCTCAGCTCGGTCCAAAGATAAATTAAACAAATGAATGAATGTGCGAGAGAGAGTGCACATGGCGCAGTTCTCACCTCCCAGGAGGAAGGACAGACATTAGCTGATCAAAGGGCTTAAAAGGTTCTTCCATCTTAAATTTCACACTAGTCTGCGCCATCCCTTTCATGTCTGAAGCGAAGGGACCATAATGATATGGATAGTACCTAATATATACAGCACCAATCAATTCATTGTCATCATCATCATCATTATCATCATCGTCTATATGTGAGTGTGTGTAGATACATCAATTCACAACGCTCAGGTCACAACATTGCATTGCACACTCCCCATAATATAATGCAACAATCTAGATGAGAATATTGGTGTAGATTTACAATGCAGACACAAAAGAGTATTGCATTTTCCATTGGCAAACTAAACTATATATGCATGGGAAGTAGTTACTTACCAGCCCCAAGATGGTACCCCTTTAAAGTAGTATAATAGGACCCAAAGAAGGCCCTTGGTGTAGTGTGTAACCTGCCACAAATAATGCAAGGTACAAAGAATCTTAAGTAAGTTAAGGACAAACAAAGCCTGAGCAAATGCTAACTATCAATAAATTTTATTGATTGGGGAAACATACAACATCCCTTCGAGTTCTTTCCACATCTGCTTGGCTTTGCAGTTTGAATTTTTGCATGTAATAGCGCTCCCTCCAACCAGGCAAACCAAGCTTTACCTGTTCCAAACAGGAAGGTAATTAAGTTCATATAGTACGTCGTAAGGTTGATTTAAACATACTTGAGAATCCCTCCAGCTTAAAAAAATGTGGTATTGTGGCTGGTGCTACTTAGAAATAAACTATTAATAGTAGTAGTAGTAGTAGTAGTAGTAGTAGTAGTAATAGTAGTAGTATGAGTGGGTGGGGATATATAGGCATTGATTAACCAACCTTATCGGCAACTACACCATGTTTGAAGGTATCGGCATTATGACGGAGGCTGTCCTTCAACTTCTGCTTCAATTCCTTAGTATTTTCCAGAATCTACAAATTAATAAAAGTAATGCATCACTCAATCACAAACATGTACTGATCGTTAAATAAACACATACATATGCATGAGATATCCTTCCCATAAAAAAAACATCTAGTGCGGGAAAAACAAAACAACTAATGTTGTGAGAAGAACTATATGTATATGACACAAACAAGAACTATACATCTAGGGCGGAGATGTCAACGTCCTTTTTTGAATCAAGAACTAGATCATTGTTTCCCTCCTCGTCCTGCAGCTGCAAAAACAAACAAATAAACAAACAGACAGGCTAAAACTTCTTCGATCCAAGTGTTGCAGGCCACCACAAACATGCTAAAACTTCAGAAATCCTAGCTAGAATTGAAATTTGATGAACTCACATCGTCATCCTCGCTTGCAAACACAATCCGCCTATTTCTCTTTTCTCTGATTTTCATTCTTTTCATAAATATCTTCTCTTCAAATGCAGAAACAGAGAGGATAAACTTTTCAACTCTGGACAACTTAATGCAGCCACCTTTCGGTGCATCAACCTGTTTCAAAGCTCGATCAGCTCATACACTTTTGTTTTTTCTTACAACTCAACAGTAAAATTTACCCAGCCTTTCCACTGTGTGTGAAACTTTTAAAACAACAAAGAATTATTACATACCCTTTCAATATCAACCAAGTACCCACCAAGATTCTTGAACTCTTTCTTGTATACATATATAAGAAGATCAATAGCCCCCTGCATGCGGTGCATAAAAAGTAGATAAAGAGGTTAACAATGACTAATTAAGATGCTACATAACATAATTTTGATGGTCAACGTAGACAAAAAAACCTCGTGAATATCAAGGGTTGGCATATGAGGAAGAAAATCATTCCCAGCAAAGAAACACATGAAAACAAAATCATCAATAACTCTCTCCAAATCAGCTTTGGAACCATTTGGACGTTCCACTCTTTTCTCATTGTGCAGTTGGGATTCAGATGCTTCTGGAAAGGAAGCACCAGCATTATTATTATTGTTTGAATGAAATTTAGCATCCTCTATAAGATCCGTGCAGATTTCAAGGTCCAAATACTCCCTAAGCACCCAAACATTAAGGAACTGCATATACAAAAAAAATTAAAACTTTAGCAAGCAGTAAATAACAAATAAATAAAATCCATTATAAAATAAATGACCTGAAATTTATTCTTGGCTTCACGGAAGTGCTTCACCTTATCACATGTAACAACACCATCATCATGCTGAACGTATCAGAATCATCAAAAAATGTGACTATAGTTACCATAGAGACATGGAAATAGTAATTTAAACTTTAAAATCCATCTCTCAGGGGTAAAACACAAAAAATGATCTATATACGACTAAAATTAAAATAGTGGACTGACAAAATGTGAGTTTTTATAGCCACTGACCCTGTATTAGTACTTTTAAAGACCATGATTATATTCAGTTTTACACTATAACTGACAAAATTTATAGTGCAATAAACATGACAATATTACTGTAGTAACTTAACTCACATTTATGTCTATAATTAAGCTCTATTTCAGTAATATATTAAGATAAACCCCAAAAGCATACGAGTACTTGGTACATATTAAAGGAAAATGTAAAAAAGAAGAAAGGCCTAGTAGTGTATTCCAATTCAACCACCTTTCTAAACCACCCTCTACTACTCACAGTATGACTTTCAGCTTTGTGGAGGCTAAGCTGAAGAGATGATAAACTGCTTGAAATGTCATCCTGAATCAAAACATTCTGCATGGGCCAGATGAAGGATGAAATGATGAATGGGTAAAATATAAACAAAACATCCATTATGGATGCAATGAAGATTGCAAGAAAATGACTTTTACCTCCCTCAAAACAGAGAAGTGAAGCTCGTGGGAAGCTAATGCCAACATTATCAGGTCAGCATCCTGCACGTACAGTAATTAAGTAATCAATATGTAGTATATATTTTTCAAGTAAAATAACGAAATAGAATACAGCAGCAACGAGGGGGGGGGGGGTAATAAAATTATGTTGGGTGGGCCAAAATTTAAAATGTAACATATTATTTATAGATTATAAATATTTATAGATATGTATACACATTAGAATTTCTTTCTTGGGGGACCAAAGACCCCTCCCGGTCTCCACTACTGTGCTAAATGGCCGGGGCACAAATGGTGAAAAAAAAACAAAATTTCCCAAGTAGCAACATTCATACCAAACCATATAGACAATGGCGAGTGTTGGGATCATAATCTGGGAATGTTCGTTGGGCACGAATAAAAGAGTTTATCTTGTGTTCTCCTTCCCCGGGTGTATTAGAGTCTGACAGAATAACCTGCTCAAAACCAACCAACAGGAAAGCAAAGCAAAAAAAAACATGAGTATTTAAGCAAGTCCAATAACACAATTACACAAATACCTCAGCCATATGAGCGCATTCAATGTATAAATGTTTTGTTTTAAAAAAATGTCGTACTACGTATTATATAACAAAATTACCAATAAGAAAATATGAATGCCCCCTCTAAGAAAAAAGGAATACCCAATTAGAAATAATGACAAATCTAATACTTGTACTCCACAAAATATTATAAACAAAAATATTTAAGTGGTGTAGGTAGTAACTCTAATTTTAATGACACTAATCATTTTTTCATTTTTTAAGTATTAGTTTGAGAAAGTAAGGTACCTTAGAGAGGATTAAAACATATCACATTTCATTAAAGTGATTAAACATGATCAATATATTTGTATTCTCAAATTATAACTCATTCACTTCAAAATATTGAGCTTGTTCTTTAAATAGAGCCATAAATCATATTCTGGGAAATAAAATATAACCAGTCCTATTTATTGTGGAAATACCTTCTTAAATTTTATAATTGGGAAAAGGGGAAAATAAGCTCTCGAACTAACCAAAAAAGTGCAAATCACCCAAATTTGGTTCAGGTAAACTAAACTTAATGAAGAAGATGCTAAAAAAGTTTCATCAAAAAATTCCACCGGGAACTTCCCTAAATGGCGACAGCCATACAGAACCTTCTATATAACGGGTGATTTGCACTTTGGTTAGTTCGAGGGCTTATTTGTCCCCTTTCCCTTTATAATTACTCTATTGTTTTTAGTTAGTAGCTAGGCCTAAAACAATAAAACTCACGCCATTACTTAATTGTTTATTTTATCCTCTACTTTCTAGTATTATCTCGCTTTCGTGACATTTTTATTTTTATTTAAGATATTGATCCTTTATTTCTATTATTCTTTTCTTATACTGCCTCCCTCCTGGTCTAAGGTTCCCATGTCAAAATGTCACAGTCATTTAGACAATAATTACATAAGGTAATTCTAATATATTTTGAAAAAATGTTTTTGATGGGTATCTAATGATGAGGTCATTGATGATCAAATTATTATTTTAGAGTGCTAATTATTAATTCCTAAAATTGAAATGAGAACTTTGACGTCCAGAAAAGGAAAATAGAAACCTTAAACAAGGATGTAAGGAGTATAAGGATGTTTTTACTTGGACTGAAATTTGCTAGTTTGGTCTGGTCTATTTAAGTCTAGTCTGGTTTGGTCTGAACTGGTTTGGTAAATGTTTAGTCTCTATGTTTTTTTAAACATAAAAGTCTGGTGTGCTCTTGTCTGAACTGGTCTGGTCTGGTTAAACCTGGTCTGGTGAGTGTTTATTTGTTTAAGTTGATAGGCTTTTTGGTGTCTTGAAGTTCTTTGTTGTACATTTTACTTTCTTCTAAGTTAAAAGATAAATTATATTTAAAATAATATCAAAACTTGCTAAACTACTCGTATTTGCATTGATTTACTTGCACCTATATATAAGTGTTTGGCCAATCAAACTTTAATAAATACGGAGTAGTACTCTCTCTGTCTCGAAATGAAGTTCTCGATTTGACCTACACACATTTACGTAAGATATAATTTTGTTTTGAATTTCCAAACTTACCCTCACTTTATGTCAAATCAAGCAAAAAGTAAGAGTAATTGTGATTTTTTGCGTAAAAGTGAATTTCTTCTATAGAAATGAAATCTTCTTTTTGGGATATCCATAAAAAGAAAGTGAGAACTTCATTTTGGGGACGGAGGTAGTACTTGCAATTGGTTTTTGAAAATTACAAATTTTAAGTATTTATTTACATAGAACAAATGGCGAAATTAATTAACTAAAGGCTAGAGGGTCAAATAGGCCCTCGAACTAACTTAAAAAGTGCAATTCACCCTTTATATAGGAGACTTTGTCCGGCCGTCGCCAATTGGGCAGTTCCCGGTGGAATTTTTTGATGAAATTTTTTGAGCATCTTCTTCATCAACTTTAGTTTATCCATACCAAATTTCAGATATAAATTCAACCGGGAAGACAGTCAAATGATATTTTGAAATGTACTGTGGCGTTTAACTGCGCAGTTATCTTCAAGAATTCATTTGAATGCCTTCCCGATTGAAGTTTTAGCTTAAATTTGATATGAGTAAACTAGACTTAATGAAGAAAATGCTCAAAAAATTTCATCAAAACATTTTACCGGGATTCGCCCCAATTGGCGACAGCCGGACAGAGCCTCCTATGTAAGGGATGAGTTACACTTTTTAAGTTAGTTTGAGGGCTTATTTGACCTTTTAGCCTTAATTAAAAAAAGGAATTTATTAGCAACATGCATATTGCTATATATTAGCATCCTTGCTTGTAAGAGTAGGTTAGGTAGTCCATTGGGCCCGTCCGTCTCGAGAAAACTATAAATTTTTAAAAATTATATAAACAATGTTTAACACTTTTAAATAATAATGAAAGATTTTAAAAAGTATTAATATGCTTATAATGTTTATATGCCTCTCTCGCCACATATACCAAAAATACTTACACAAAAAAAATCATGAAAAATTATAATTAAAACTTAAAATTCAAGCACAAAGTACTATGTTTAAGTATAAAATTAGATACGAGTATTATATTGGTTGAGCTAGCTCTTAAAACTAAAAGACTTAAACTTAAAAATAATGAAACATAACTATATATAAAGATAAATTAGAAAATGTAAACATAGCAAAAATAAATTAGTAAATATATACTACCTCCGTCCCAGGGACAAGTTCACACTTTCTTTTTTTGGCAGTCCTAACAAAAAGTTCCCATTTTCCTAAATGGAAAGTTATCCTACATCAAAACAGTGCCAAACAGTGTCGAAACTGTGCCAAACAGTATAATTTACCCCTCAGTAACTTTATTTCCTTAAAATGTGTGAAAGTCAACCCAGGAACTTCTCCCTGGGATGGAGGGAGTATAAATATACATGTATATTTACTAAATGTAGTTGGTCGGGTTTATCGGCCTACACCCTAACCCAAGCCCACCCATATGCTATTGTGGGACTGGCCCAGCTCAGATTGGTGGGTAAATACATATGCTCAAGCCCGGCCATTCATGTGGGCAAGTCGGTCCTTGTTTGTGCAAGTCTATAAAAAGTATGAGTATGACTGTATGCGTTATTGATCGAATAGGTTGAAAATCAAACGATGGGCTGGGATTAGTGTACAAAATGTGGCCGGCCCGTTGGAAAGTTTTTTTAAATTGGACTATAATTTTTTGGATTAATCTTGTCTGTTCAAATCTGGTTTAGTAGATATACTATGTATGTTTTATGTGCATTTTACAATTGTACAAATTTGATGTGAAACTATGGATTAATATTGTATTTTTTAGATTGGTCTAAGACGGAAACCAATCCAATTAAAAAACGTGATCAAGTTAACTAAGAATTTACTTTGTAGAGAAGCACAAACCTTGATATCCTTCCATCCCTTATTAGATTTGATCCGATTTTGAATGTAAGTTTGTAGCTTGAGAGAGAGGGTATACATAAATGCAGTGCCAGGAGTGATTACATTCGAGTCTGACACTTGAGACTCCTCTTTCTCCAGCACCTCTTTACCCTCACTAGCAAACCTTTTCCTTAGCTTCATCTCCTCCTCTTCCTGTATCATATGTATGTTTTCACTACCACATGAACTCAAGAAAATGTATAATTTTGACAATTTTATTTTTTGGTTATTCGGAAAAGTTTACCACTTTGTGTAGTAAATATTGTAGAAAAAGCAATAGAAAGGTGATTCTGAACTTTTTAAAGTGATTTTGAAAAAAGTGCTTAATAGTAAAAGTTGGTAGTGTTTGAGAAAAAATTGATTTTGAAAAGTTAAACTTGGTAGTGTTTGGTAAAATAAGTGCTTTTTTGAAATAGAAAAAGTAAAAAGCAATTCTAGCTTTTAGCTTTTAAGTATTGATTTAAGTAGAAGTTGTCACTTGAAAACACTTTTTTTAGCTTTTTAAACTAAAAGTTGGGAAATGCTTTATTTTAAGCGTTTGAAAACGAAGATAAAAATACTCCATATGTATTAAAATAAGGAGTCCCTATATCGTACACCCGGATGTACGTACATCCGGTCCAATTAATGAATTTGACTGGTAGTAAGGAACTGGATTCCTTCACAAAAAAATTAAGAACCCCAACGGGATTCGATCCTGTGACAAGTAGTAGCATATGCTATCTTCCAACCATCTCACCAAGTCGTCTTGTTGTAATATTCAGTTCTTTTATCTTACTTATCCTATATAGTTTCATACTGCGTATTATTAATAGTAATTATAATATTAACTATTCTTTTGCCTTTTCTCATTATTACTACATTAAAAGAGTAATTCATATTTTTGAAGTATTTATTTGATCTATGAATGATAGTATTAATTTATATAAATATATTTATAATTTTTTTTATATAGTGTTAGGTTCCTAATAAGCGTGATGCTCATCAAAATTGTTTTAATGCTCATAATAGGTCTGATGCACATTAAAAGTTTAATAATGCTCATTTAACAGAAACAGTGATTTTCATCTCAATATATGATATTTGATGCTCAATGAATATGTTGTTATTCAAAGTAACAAACTTTGTGATTTTCATATCTAGGAACATTTTGTAAGATGTACATGCTCATCTGGTACTGATCTTATGCTTATTTTCTAAATGTCATATCAACATATTTTCTTTAAAGTACTATTTTACATTAGGTTCACATATTGAAATTAATAGGAGTTGATTAGAAATATAATTTAATAAGTTTTTATAAAAGGAAAATTACATTGATATGACATTGTAAAAATGAGCATAACATGAGTACCAAATGAACATACATAACTTACAAAGTGCACATTGATATGAAAATCGTAACATTTGTTAGTTGAACATCATGACATTTTAATTGATTTTTCAACCTCTACTATTGATACTTTTGAAATATGCATTGATATAAATTGTAAAAATGAGCATTACATTAGTAACAAATGAGTAATAATGAACTTTTAATGAGCATCAAACCTTTTAAATTGAGAATTAGGAGTCCAATATTCAGAATCATGATCTCTGCTTCATAACTTCTAATTCACTTTCTTTTTTTTTGTTATTTTTTCTTTTATAAAAACTTATTACATTATCTTTATAATCAACTCCTATGAATTCCATTATGTGAATGTAATTTAGAATAGTACTTTTAAAAATGCATTGATTTGACATTTACAAAATGAGCATAACATCAGTACCTGATGAGCATACGTAACATACAAAATGAGTATTAATGAATTTTTTAGTTGTTTTGTTAGTTGAACATCACAACATTTTAATTGAGCATCAAACCTTCGTTATTGAGATGAAATTCACGGTTTCTGCTGAATGAGCATTAATGAACTTTTAATGAGCATCAGACCTATTATATTGAGTATTAGAAGTCTAATATTCAAAATCGTGATCTGTGCTTCATAAAAAATGAGCATAATATCAGTATCGATTGAGCATATGTAGCTTACAAAATAAGCATTAATATGTTGAACATACGGACATTTTTCATTGAGCATTAAACCTCCTCTACTGAGTATTAAAAGCGTGCAATTGAGTACTGATTGAGCATCAAGACATTTTTATTGAGTTCAAATCGCCTGTTAATGAGCATCAAATGTATTCTATTGAGCATTATGAGTCGAATAATGAGTAATGTGATATCAATTTCATATATTGTAATTCACTTTCTTTTTTCTTTTTTTTTTCTTTTATAAAAACTCATTAAATTATAACTATAATCAATTCATATGAATTTCAATATGTGAATCGAATATAATATGGTACTTTTGAAATATGCATTGTTATGACATTTTAAAAATGAGCATAACATGAGTACCAATTGAGCATATGTAACTTACAAAATGAGCATATATATGAAAATCATGAGGTTTGTTAGTTGGACGTCACGATATTTTCATTAAGCATCAAACCTCCTATATTGAGATAAAAATAACGCTTTCTGTTAAATGAGAATTAATGAACTTTTAATCAGCATATGTAACTTACAAAATAAGCATTAATATGAAAATAATAAGCTTTGTTAGTTGAGCATGAAGACATTTTTTCATTGGACATCAAACCTCCTCTATTGAGTATTAGAAGCGTGCAATTGAGTACCGATTGAGCATTCATAAATTATAAAATGAGCATTAGTATGACAATCATAAGTTTTTTTAGTTGAGCGAGCATCAAAACGTTTTAATTGAGTATCATGATCTCTAATATGACTTGAAATATGCATTGATATGACATTTTAAAATGAGCATTTAACCAATACCAGATGATGAGCATACGTAACTTACAAATGAGCATTTAACCAATACCAGATGAGCATTCATAACTTACAAAACGAGCATCGAAAAAATTCAAAAGTTCAATTGAAATCTCTAATGTGTTCAAATATTCATTTGTGTATGTCTATTTCTTTTAATCGTTATACTCATTCGAAGATAACATAAACTTCTTTCTATAATTTGTACATCTAGTAGATTCATTATTAACAATTTAATAAACTATTATTATATATAACAATGTGAAATATAAAAATGTTTCACTAAAAATGATTTATAGTCTTTTGTTCTTGAATTACAAATATAATCGTTTTGTTTTTATAATATTTACTCGTTCACATTTATTTTACACTATACACATTTTAATATAGCACAAAATTCATACGGAGTATCAGTAACAACACACAATATATACTAATAAATATTCATCTCAGGATAATACGAAAAAAAACACCAAAATAAAAAAATATATTATAATTGAACAAACACTAAAGTAAAGAATTGTTACCGAAGAAAGAACGAAGGAAACAAATAAAAGCAAGATTAGAAGAAACGAAAAGACAAAAGAAAAGAAAAGACAAAAGAAAGAGATAAGTAACGAGCAGAAAAGCAAGGAAACAGAGAAAAGAAAAAACAACAAAAGAGAAAAGCTGAAATTAAAGGCAACAGACGGGGAGAGTCATGCGACGGCGCGGCGGAAAAAATTAAAGGCAATAGTAAAAACCAACTTAACAAATACCCTTCAAACTGGAATTAATTAACAAAATGCCGGCTGTACCATGCTCATGGTACAGCCGGCTGTACCATATAATTTGCCTTAAAATAAGTGTCTCAGTGGACTTTTCACGTAATTTAAGACCGCTTATAGGTTTACAGTACACATTTTAGAAAGTAAAAAATATTTGGTTCTATACAGTGTTTACTTTATTAAAGTGTATTGTAGCTCAGTAGCTGCTATCACCCAAAAGTGTATTCATGGTACGAATAAAGTAAAAAAAAATAAGAGTACGTAATTAAATACGGAGTACTACTCCCTCTGTTCCTAAAAATTCTTCCCGGTTTGACTTGGCACCCCTATTAAGAAAGTGAAATAAAGTGGAAATATGTGGTTGTGGTTGTATGAGAAAAAGGTAAAATGAATGTGAGCCACACAAATTGTCCAAAAAGGGAAAGTGGGAAGAATTTTTGGGAACGGCCCAAAAAGGAAAGTGGGAAGTATTTTTGGGAACGGAGGGAGTATCTTTTAAAAAAAGAAACTTGTCAAAAAAAGAGAGCGTATAAAAAAAAAATACACTCTAAAAACCAAAAGTGTAGCGATCATATCAATGAGATAAGATTACCATTATCTGCTTATCCTTAGCGGTCCTAAAACGCCGAGACCTCTGTTGGTTCATCTTCGCCCTCGGGGCGACTCCATCTGCGCGCACAAAATCACATCAAATTCTAGCTTGACGTTTTAATTAAAGGTCAAAATTGCGCACATAATATTATTAATCCGATTTGTATATCAATATATGATTCATTCGCTCATATTTACTTACATACGTGTATAACTTAATAATTATATATAATTTAAAAAAGGAATTGAATTGAAGCCAAGGTGAAAACATACCTATTGCAAGGTAAAGCAGCTTCCGAGGTCGTACAATGTTAAACAGCCGGTCAAGGTAATCAAATATGGCCTCAAACACTTCCTCATTCGTTGTAGGAGGAGAGAGCTGATGATGATCGATGATATATGAAAATTAATTAGTTAATTCAACTACAAAATTAATTGAAACAGATATTCACTCATAATTAAGCTAGGCCATAAGTTGTTCTTGGAGGTTGTAAATCACGGTAACTAGATAAAGTTAAATCAATGTCTATTACCCACAATTACTCATTTTGAGAGATCCTCTACGTCCCCTTTTCAGTCAGCTAGCCAGTCAATATATTTACATACGAAAATATGTACAGTATAAAATCACTGATGATTTTCTTGGTAAAAAATTGCGATTATATATATTAGTTGAAAAGTGAAAGATGGAGAGGAGAAGAAAGGTACCGCATCCTCCGGGTGAAAACAGTGGTGAATGACCCCATTCATGTCCACGTAAAAGTTATGGAACTCGTGAAGAAATCCTGCATTTGGGTTGGGCAAGCTGGAATCCGTTTCTTCTTCAACTGCGTTCACAACTATTTTGGGGTATTTACCCACTAACCATCTGTAAAACGACGGAACTCCCATTTCTTTCTGAATAATTTCTCTTGATAGATCTTTTTTAATTTGAATTGACACTCTGATCGAATGAATGAATGAAAAGGCAGGCGGCCTCTACTCTGTATGTATATGTGTGCCTGCCGGTAATTAGTGATGATTAAATTTGATCTTGGAAAATGAGAAGACACTGTACCCGCCACGTGCAGCCGCGCCACTTCTGCCGTAATTAAGCATCACCACACTTCATTCGGTACTTTTAGAGCCAAGACTAAAATGGGTTGATTTAGTTGATTTTGCTTAAATTTATGAAGTTCTGGTCGATACTGATTTAAGAAAAAATTGTTTTAAAAAATATTTTATTAATAAAGTAAAGAAAAAATTATATGTAAAAATAGCTAAAATGGTCATCTTCAGTAATTTCAGCCAATACAGTCAGAAAAGTAACTTCAACTTAACTTTTTCTGTTTATTACACAATTCAGCGCGCGAAAGCAAAAGTTACATGTTTGAGCAAAAGTTGACTAATGAATCTAATAAGTCGAAAAACATTCTTGCTAAACGAACTCTTAATTTATTGTTTATTACACCGTATTCTCAACCCACCATTTCCATTTTTAGAGCCCGTTTGGTAGCACCAAAATCGGCTGTTTTGGCTTATTCTGCTGAAATTTATGATATTCTGGCTGGAGTGGCTGTTTTGGCTGATTCTACTGATTTAAGAAAAAAATATTTTAAAAATATATTTTATTAATAAATTAAAGAAAAAATTATATGTAAAAATAGCTAAAATGGTCCTCTACAGTAACTTCAGCCAATACAGTCAGAAAAGTAACTCCAACCTTACTTTTTCGGCTTATTACACAATTCAGCGCGCGAAAGTAAGAGTTACGTGTTTGGTGAAAAAGCTGACTGATAAGCCTGATAAGCGGAAAACAGAGTTCTCCAAACGGGCTCTTAAACTACAGAGTACATTATTACGGAGTATTGCATTACAACTCACTACTTAAACCGTAAGAAATCCTATATACTCATGTGAACTCATATCTAGTAGGGGTGGGCACGGTCCGGAACGGAACAAGAATTGGGTTGTCGGTATCGAACCCAATTTAAAATAACAGTCCGGAACGGGACGGGACAAGACGTTGTCCTTTTGTTGTCCCATTTCAACCGGTACCGGGACAAAACGGGATGGTTCGGGACATCCCAAAAAATTGTAATGAAAAAACTCCAATCCCAAAAATGAAACAAAGTTATTTGAAAAAAACTAGCACAAAAAAACTCTATGACAAAAAAATGCAGCTATTCTAGAAATATGTGATAAAAATGCAACCTACCAAATTAGCCGCAAGAAACCAAAGTTGCGGGAAATAAAACTCTAACACAAAAAACTATCAATAAATTTGTAAAAAAAAATGATAAAAGAATACTATAAGAGGTGAAGCTTTTGGGAGTAAAAATCAATTTCTTTTTTTTTTGCAGATAGATGATAGCTCATAGTTCATCACATATATAGAAGAAAATTCATTCCACCTCTCATAAAAGGAGATCATACATGTAATCTCAATTTGTGAGAGACTTTAATTCCCGGGTTGACTTTCACACATTTTAAGGAAATAAAGTTACTGAGGGGTAAATGTTACTGTTTGGCACTGTTTCGACACTGTTTGGCACAATTTTGAACTGTTTGACACTGTTTTGATGTAGGATAACTTTCCATTTAGGGAAATCAGAAGTTTCTTTTGGGACATCCAAATAAGAAAAGTGGGAACTTGTCTGTGAGACGGAGGTAGTAATAAATAAAAATAACTCAATTATCTAAATTACCCTTATTAAAGGTAACGATCGTTAACTGATCACCAAACGTAGGAATCAAACGCAACCAGAACTAGGCCTGTCAACTGGTCGGATAAGAGCCGGAACTATAAATTCCATATCCATATCCCTTGAATAATTTTTGGTCTAGATCTAAACCCATTTACCCTTCGAGTCCTAAACTGTTCCATATTTGGGTCCAGCGGGTCTCAAATCTGGACCGGGTATACCCGCAAAAAGAACTAAATGACACATGCAAACAAATATAATACATAGCAAGATTTTGTTCATATTGGAATATATCATATATATATATATATATATACTCTCTCCGGTCCTTATTAAAGTTCTCACTTTCCTTTTTGGGATGTCCCTTATTTAAGTTCACACTTCCATTTTAGGAAACAAAACAGTGCAAAACAGTGCCAAACAGTGTCCAAACAGTGCCAAACAGTGCACTCCACAGTAAAGTCAAATTTATTTTCTTAATCTGTGTGAAGTCAAACTAGAAACTTTAATAAGGACCGGAGGGAGTATATAAATAAGAAAAATGTTGTTCTCCATTACTCCATTATATAAATAAGCAAAATATAAATACACAATTTACTTTATATGTATATTAGCAAACTCATCGAAGATCTAGAGCAGTAACTCATTAGGGAAAACCATATTATAGTGGGACAACCACTAACTAAGCCTACAATTTTTAAAACATTTTTATATTTGATAATTTTCCTTATTTTATGTTTAAATATTTCTATATATATTCTGTGTGTGTGTATAAAATCATAACTATATAATTATATCATCACGGGTCCGGTCCAAAACGGGCCGGAACATAAAAATCCATATCCGACCCATTTTTTATATCACGTAACGGGTTCAGATTCGGATCTGGGAAACGGTTCTTAATTTAAATCCAGACCTCAAATACAGTGTCAGATTCAGATCGTGTTCGGGTCTAGACCCAACCCAAAAGCTCTTAAGCGCACAAAAGTTAGATGGTACATGTCCAATTGGAAATAATACTCTCTCCGTATTTATATGTTCCTTATATTTTCTTTTGACACGATATTTTAGGATAGAATAGTAAGGGTAGTGAATAGTATAGAAAAAGTAGGAGAGAGTGTGTAAAAGTATGAAAGAGAAGATAAAAAGTAGATAAAGTAAGGGTAGTTGAGTATTTTATAAAGGATAAACTTACCAAAAATTGAAGTGTAGGGAACTTTTAAATACATCCCAAAAAGGAAAGTGTAAAGAACTTTTAAATACGGAGGGAGTGACATATTGTCTGCGTACTGCTGAGGTTGCTCGTGAAAAATTACGTACTGTACGGGTCTTCTTCTTCGTTTCACAGGCAAATTAAAGGCTCGTGGAACGGAAGATACAACGACAACCCTGGCAGGACCATCGGCTTTGTCACAACTTTTTCGAGAGAGATTTTCGTCCCTCGGCATTTCCACGACAGAGGCTCGTCAGCAGTCTGGCGGTCTGGCACGACACCTGGGTGTCTCTTTTGGTGTATTTACATTAATAGCAGGCAAACATTGAAAAAAGTGCAAAAATAGAAGTTTAATGTTTAATAGGAGTGAAAATGTAATAACTTGACTAAAATGCCTTTGATGAAGTTCAAGATTTATTTGCAATTAAAAAATAGAAAAGCTAAAAACAAATCAAAACTCTAACCACTCAACCTCCCATTTTATTGTTCACCAACTATCCAACTAGTCCGCTGATCAACAAGTCTGCTTCAGCCGTCAGTTGAGTTCGTCGCCGCCGTCTGGCAAGTACGCCACCACCGTCTGGCAAGTACGCCGCCGCCATCAGACGAGTCTGACGTCGCCTCCCAACAAGTTTGCTGCCACCGTCAGACGAGTCCGTCGTTGCCTCCCGACGAGTCTACCTCCGCCGTCCGACGTGTCCAGTGAGTCCGCCGCCGCCGTCAGGCGAGTCCGCTGCCGCCACTACCTGGAAGAACCATTGTCACAGGCTCCGAGGGGTCTACTGCCTCCAGGTAACTCTGCCGCCTCGGGGGAGCCACTGCCGCCTCCAGATAACCTCCGCCACGTCCCGGCAGCCACCACCTCCAGAGACTTGCCGCCATCATCTGTCATCCAAGATTTACATATCTTCATTGGCAAAATAATAATGACATCTTCATTTGGCATAATAGCAACGTCGTCTTCATTTGGCATAATAACAATGCCATCTTCATTTGACATAATTATAATGGCATTTGCATATCTCAAAACATGGCATATAGACATTTCAAAACATGGCATTTAAGGGGTGTTTGGAATTGATTCTGCTTCTGCTTCTTTTTTAAAGCAGAAGCAAAACCAGAATCAGTTTTTAAAAGCTGGTCTCCCCTAGCTTCTAAAAAAACCGATTCTAGGACTAAATTTGGGCACCATAAGTACTTTTGCACTTCCACCCAAACACTCCAATTTCTGTTTCTGATCCCTGAATGAGCAGAAGCAATTTAAGAATTAGATCCAAACACCCCCTTAATTTACAAATACAAAGATATGACATTTCTAATTAAAAAGATGACAATTTCGTATAATTTCATGGCATTTTATGATAAACAAAATAGAACTAAAAATCAAAATTTTAAAAAGTGAAGAAATCAGTAAAATGAGAACAATCAGAGGTGATATTGCCATCTTGTGATAAAGTTAAGCCATAAAATGATATTATTTTCATTTCCGTATTAGATATCATGGCACTATAAATTACAAATACTATAAGTATTATTAATTTTTTCGTTTTCAGATTACTAGAAAAAATAGTGTTATTTATTAAAAGTAGAAAAAGAAAAAATATAAAAAAAAAGATCTGAAATTTTGTGTTGTTGATCCAAATCCAAATCATATAAAAATAGATCTAAAACTTCCTCGAGCTGGTTTAAATCGTTGGCTTATCAAATTTTCCATTTCAGAATTTCAGTTCTTAAATACCAACTTTTAGTTAGATTCTCAATCAAAAGTAAACAAAACAATTAGTGAAAAATAACAAAGAAATCGATAGGCCAAGAAAAAGAGAGAAGAAGGGTGAGATTCTGATGAGGAGGAGGAGGAGGAGGATAAGAACCCTTATAATATTTAGCAAACACTAAAAGTTGTAGTGTTTGAGAAAATAAGTGCCTTTTTAAATCCAAAAGTTGAGAAGTATTTTTTTAAAAACAGTTGCAAACTAACCCTTATAATCTTTAGCAAACACTCCCTAAGTTAAGGGTATAACTGTGAGTCTGTGATTATGAAAAAGAAAAACTCACCTCACGTATATATGGGCGTGTGTCTAGCAAAAATGGTTGTGTGTTTAGAATTCCCCTTTTCGGGTTTGATGATGTGGATAGGTCTATGGGCCTTCAATGGCCTT